TCATTTTCTCTTTCTCTCTTTTATCTTTATTTTACAGTAATAATACCATTTTCATATTATAGTTTATTACATGCAAATCATCAAATATCTATAATTCACATAGTATATTTGAAAACAAGAACAATTCAACTTATCTGAATGATAAACATAAAGGCTTACAAGCAGGCAAAATAATAATTAGTATGTTTAATAAGTTTATTTATCTAAAAATATTCCTTAAAACATCGAAAGAAATACTAAATTTTTTATCAAAACCTGATGTTTTCTCCTTCACTGTTCATTTTTTCTTTTCCTCCTTCTCTAATTAGATTACTCTCTCCCTCATTTTCTCTTTCTCTAAGTCTAGAAAAATGGAAGAATGGAAGTTTGGGGAAGGATGGGGTGGGAAGACCTATTTATAGAATTTTAGAACCATTGTTTTCGCACAAGGTGGTGAAATCCGGTGAAGATAGAGGAGAAAAAGATGCTCGGTACGAAAAATGAGGGAGGAGGGCCTCCTCCATCAGTGGCAGCGTTGTGCAGCCCGAGGCGACGACGGTGCACTACCCGAGGCAGCAGTGCCCCAACCGATGCACTGATGGTTGGAATGTTGGCGCACAGGCCTCCTATCGCGCGCACAGGTCCCAGGCGTGCAGGGCCTATCCACGCGGGCATCTCTGCTTCCCCGCAGTATTTTTCCTGCGGGATTTCTTTCCATTTCACCCTTTTTCTGATTTTTCGTAATTTTTTTAAATTTTTTTAAATAAGTTAAATACAAAATACAATAATAAAAATTAAAATTAAATAAAAGTAAAAATAATTAAAAAAATTAACCAGATTTACGAATTACGATAAATAATATGCAGTGTAATTTAAATAAGTTTAATGTGGCCAAAGGCTCGAATAATTAGGATTTTTCAAATTAATTAAGTATAGTGATGGGCAAGATGTTATATATAATCAACACGCAGGAGGATACCATGACCTGAATTTCCTTCCGAACATTTAGTACTCTTAAAGTTATTTCTTAATGTTCATCCTTCGGCTGTTGCATGACTTGTGGAAGCATACACACAATTAGACAGTTCAGGCTAAGTAATCATCAAGTAAATCAATTGCCCTACCAGACATCTATACGGTCTAGGATGGTGTAAATCAACATTCTCAACAAGTGTTAATTTACAATTTTGTTCAAGAATAGTGTTAGCCAGCTTAACTCCTAATAAGTTAGTCTTAGAAAAGATGTCCAATACATGCTTACACTGATACAAGAAGGTACATTTCGAGTTTCATGCTACTTTAACTCCTGAGAAATATTTCATTTTTCTCATATCTTTTATATGAAAAAAAAAACATACTCAAAATAATCTTTGAACTTTTGCACAAACTTTCCAACATTTCCATATATAATTAGATCATCAACATAGACAAAAATATTGAGTAGAATATGTTGATCTCCATAAGTAAAAAAGTGAGTAATTAGAATACGATTGTTTAAACCCATTATTTCTCATTGTCGCTGCTAACTTGGCAAACCAACACCTAAGTGTCTATCATAGACCATATAATGACCTTTAAAGTTTGCATAGCTTACCTGGCATTAGGGAAAAAAACTAAGTGGCATTTCCATATATACCTCTTCGTCTGACTCAACATGCATAAATGTATGTAGATCAATATGATGCAATTCCCAATTCCTATAGCTACAACTGCAAGAAACATTAGTATAGTGATCACCTTTGCTGTCGAGATGAAAGTTTCATTATAATTTATGCCTTCGATTTAATTGTTCTCAATGGTCACTAATCATGTCTTGCATCTCTTAATGCTTCCATCTTAATTATATTTAATCTTGTAGACCCATTTGCTCCCAGTTATTTTCTTCTCGAGAGGCAAATCTTTTACTATCCATGTCCCATTTTCCTCAAGAGCTTGTATCCCTTTTCTCATTGTTTCTATCCAACATTCATCCTTTATTGCCTCATCATAAGTATTAGGTTCATACCCTGTGGTAATAGCTGCAAGAAAAGATCGATGTTGCATAAAAAATTTATCATAAATCACATAATGTGTTATATGATAGGGTGTATATGAGGACTTTGATTGGAACAATGAACCTATTGAGGGGTTTCCTCAAATGGTATACATCACATAATCCTTTAAATGAACAAAAGGTTTCTTAACCTTTTTTCTTTTGCCAAGGTGTTCATCAGACATCGTGGGTCCTCCAATGTCAATAACCCATATCCCATACTCCAATATTTATATTAGTAGGCATTTCCTCATCATGACTCATCTCAGTATTCACCTCGTGCTCCACATCCATTATTGGAGCTTGCTACTCCTCCATGTCATCTTGCACATATGAGTCCTCATCATTTCCGGAGTAATTCACAACCCCATTCTTGGTCAAGGAGGAGTTTTTAATCCTGTTTGTATATGAGAACTCGGTTTTGATGAAGATAACATTCCTTGAGATAAAATATTCTCTAGTTTCTAAATCATACAACCTCCAGCCTTTCTTCCCAAATGGATACTCCACAAAAATGCTCTTTCGGCTTATACAAGAAGTTTGATGCAAATTTCCACATTTAGCAAAATATTTTTTCAAGCACATAAACTCAATACCATTATCAATCCTAACAAATTTCACATCTTTAATAAATTATCATATAACCATTAGGATGAAATTTTAAGAACATAACCCACCCTCATTTTTTAATTCAATAAATATAACCACGCCAAATGAGAGTATTCATCAACAATTGTCAAGAAATAAACAGTTCAATAAGAAGCATGAACCTTATAAGCTCCCCATAAATCATAATGGATTAAGTCAAAACTTTCTTTAGCTTTATTATCACTAGGAAAAAACATTTCTTTTGTTTGTTTAGCTCTAAAACAAATGTCACAAAACTTATTTTAGACACTATCATTTCTATTAGCACAACAAACTTTAGAAATTAATTCTACTATCCTAAAAAGGGATGACCCATTTTTCTATGTCAGAGCTCGAAAGATGTAATACCAATTATTTTATAAACATAAAGAGGAGTCACTCCTTTGAGACCCTTGCAGGTAATTTGGACAATCAAACTAGAATCACTAAGAAGCTACGACACAAAAATCAAATTGCACTTCAACTTAGGCACAAATAGAACATGTCGTAGTTTTAATTTCTCTCTAATGATCACTATTCCTACTTTCAAAGCTATGGTCTCCATTCCATCTGACAACCCGAACAAACATGGCACAATATCATGCAAGTCACTCAAACATGCATGTGTCATAGCCATATGATGCGAAGCCCTTGTGTTAATAATCTAAGACAAAAACTCGTTAACCTCTCATTAGCAACACCTTTGTGTGAGTTTAACATGCTGAGTAATGTGGCCCATTGTTCGTCATTCAACATACTAATTCATGTTATATTAGAATTAGTCACAACACTTCTCCCTCCATTAGCTCCTAGTATTTAATCTACGTTGACTCGAGTAGGCCCTCCTTAATCTATTTTCTCCCCTTCACCAGCCATATGATGTACGTTTAATGGCTCTGATACCATAAAAGAAAGTAAGTAATTTAGGGTCAAAGTTTTTCTACCATTTATTCTCATGAGTTGTGAATATATAGAGAAGAAATACACCAAGAGAATATTTACAATTAATAAAATAATATTTGCTATTGCCTAAAATTAAAGAAAATATCATGATCATAATCATGTTTAAAATCTCCAATATTTGCTAACACCTAAAATCAAGGAAAAGATCATGATATTGGAGATTCAAGAAAAATATCATGATCATACCTAGAATCTCTAATAGATATAATGCGTAAAAAAATAAAATAAAAATAAACATTTGCTCTTTGATCAAAACCATGCTAATGAATACAAATTGAAAAAATGTAAGTAGGACTAAAACATCTCTCACTTGATGTGTAATAAATGTACCTAGTTTTTCATTGAATGTCACATGGAATATACATATTAATTATAAGATATTTCATAAGTAATAGAAAAGTTGATAAATTTTATAAATTTAATTTGTATATTTTAAATTTTATCAAAAGGATTATAAAAACAGAAAGTAAACTATATAAATCACAACAATCTATTTACTCCCTTGAAACACCTAATAATTTTTCATAACATATATTTTAATGTATATCCATTTACATTCTTGAAACACTTAATAATATCTCATAACATATACACTAACACATTAACTAGTAGAATAAGTTCGTTTAATTTAATTGCAATATTATAATTTGTTTAATAAAACAAGTAGGTTAGAATCTTAATCAATCGAGTGGAAGAAATCCATGGCGAAGCGATGCTTCCCAAATTTTATCAACATTGAAGACTTGGCCGCCACACTCGTCAACTTACCATCCTTCGAGCGCGTGTAAAATCCCTGCGATTCGCCACACGCTGATTGCTCTTCTGGGCAACCAGTTCTCACAGGAGTGGACGTTGTGGAATACTTCTGGAAGAATCATTCCAGGAGTGGAGTGGTAATATCAATCTTTGAGTATCTTCTTTGGTGGAAATAGCGACAATGGAATAAATTTTGTTCCTTTTGATGCCTCTCCCACTAACCATACCTACATAAAAAAAAGAATTTAATTAATTTAATTAAAAAATAATTTCATAAAATAAAATTAAACTAAGGGTAAAATAATAATATACTAAATTGGTTATACCTTATACTCTCGACAAGCTTCATCTGTTGGTGAGTGGAATCCTGAGTTTAAGCTCCAAATTATTCAGAAGCCGCGTTGCTACCTACGAAAGTTGACTTTGTAACATTATTATTATTATTATTGTTTAGGACCAAAAAAAGGTTGACTTGTGAGGTTTTACAAAAACAATTCTAGGCTGGAATGTTCTGGATCTTCTGGTCTATCAAATGGCCAGTAATGTGAAACCACATAATAATAATAATAATAATAATAATATAATGCCACGAATAATGCATGCTTGATTAATTAAATATTAATTTAGAATCGAATATCTAAATTTGTTAAAAGAAAATATTAAAATAATAAAGTACTCTTTAAGTTATTTGAAAAATGTATATTTTAAATTAAAGAATTGAGTAACTAAAAAAAATAAAAAATAAAAATCATGCCGTTAAGTGAAAAACCAAAAAAAAAAAAAAAAACATTTGTACGCAGGAATCACGCATGACGTGATTAGATATATATTAATTTAAAAATAGAGAATTCTTGGATTCGTCAAAAGAAAATGCTTAAAATAATAAAGTACTTTAAGTTATTTAAAATATGTATATTTTTATTTAAAAATGAAATAATCACTCATGTAAAAAAATATTGATTGGGAAAAAGATTACTAATAATAAAAATTAATAAGAAAGTATATACCTTACGAATAACTATTTATCCTGTTATATATATATATATATATTGTTCTTTTTAAAAAAATATTAAAAGAATAATTAAGTAGATAAGTTAAATAAAAATATAAAAAACCTAAAAGTTATGTGTTCTAGTGCTTAATATTTTTACTTTCAAGAACAAAATGATTAAATACCTGAATACCCCGATCACAGGGAGTCGAAACGCTGCAATGGCGACCTTAATGAATTTTCTAACAAGCAAGACTTGCGTTGTTCCTGGTGGAATGGTGTTAAGTACCACTGTTATTGCCAAACTGCTCCCATCAACCACTTTTTCTTTAAGCTTAGGGTATTTTTCAATGTATATTTATCCATATCTAATTCAACTCCCCCCCCCCCCCCCCGGTAATATTTTTACTTCAGATATATATATATATACACACACATATAGATTGATGGGATACTTATGACCATATTTTACCATCTCTATTTAAGAAGATAAGTTTATGATCAAGAATCTACTTGCCTGACTCAAAAGACCAAGGTTCACCACCTTGGCTCCTTTCCTATCTGCTTCCAATACAACCTCCTCGATGAATCGATTAATACCATGTTTCCGTGATTTTACGAAATAATAATAAACATCATTATTAACCATATATGTAGACTATATTTTTTATATAATATGATTAAAAAGGAACATAATGAAAATCTGAAAGTAAAATGTGGGCGGAACACAAGAATGCAAGTTGAGATTTTGAAGGAGTGAGCTTCTAAGAGAAAAGCAAGGCGGGGGAGAGAGAAAATAAGAAAAAAAAGAATAAGTGAGACATAAAAAAAAATATAGAAGTAAAAAAAGACGAATGAGGCTTCAAACCCCAAAAAACAAATCCCAAGCAAAAATAATAGAGGGAATCCAATGCAATGAGATGAGTTAGACGAATTACGTTGATGCAAGTTTTACCATGTTTTAATAACGGTTTGTATAATTCATCCTATAATTTATCTGTCGTTATGTTTATATAATTGTAGATTGACATGAACAGCGAGTAATTGGTTCTAAATTGAGTGTGATGCATGAATGGAACCTGCATGCATGTAATTAATTCATTAATCATTACATTAATGTTAGTTAATCTTTGTTAATTGTTTTCTAGCTAATTTGAGGATGGGGGACCATTAATGTTTTACAGTTTTGTTTACTTCTTTTCCAATAAATACTCACACAACAGACACACACACAAACAAGTGTGTGTGTGTGTGTCTATCTATATATATATATATATATATAACTCATTAATATTTCTATTTCGTTTAACTTATACAAAACTTCAAGATGAGATTTGAGAGGCTTCAGTTTTATTGACTGAATTTCCTTAAATTACCAGGCAAATATCTTGCCAGTGGTAGGTATTACCATTTATTTGCTTCTGTTTCTATTCAAGCCATAAATAAATGTTTATAGTAAAAAAGAAAACGAGAAATAAGAATTGAACGAGAAAGGAAAGTATTAAGCCAAGTACCTGAACAATTAGGAGAGATATCCAGATAGATTTAAATATATTAGTTTTTAATTATTATTTTGAATTAAAAAATAACTAACAAAATCAAGAAGAATTAAAATAAAAATAAATTCATAAATTATAACTTTATGAAATCTATAATTAATAAAATAGTAACAAATATTAACTTATTAAATATCAATTCATAATTATTATTATTTTTAATTCCAATTTGGACGAGACAAATTATGGAACAGATGAAACTGAAATTTCTTATCTTGCTACATTTGAATTGAACTCGTCTAATTTAAGTAGTTTAGTTTGATCTCATTTTTTGGTTGAACCAAAATTTAAATATTAATACTGATTGATTCAATTTAATAAATATATTAAATAAACATAAAAACTAATCAAAATTAATCAAAGTAAGATAAATCAAATATTTAACAAAAAAACTGACTTATTTATTTGTCTTTATATGTTTTTATTCCATCCATAAGGATAAATTTAAGATATTCAACACTATTTTTCCTTTTATATTCTTTAAATTAACAGTTCAAATAGTAAATTGCTAATCATACCCAATAAATAAGTGAACGATTAGATTAAGATTTGTATAATTTTTAATAAGAAAAAAAAATAAAAATAAAAAGAGGGGTTAGATCACATACTATAGAGTGTACATGAGATACTTGAGAGGTGGGAAAATGGAAATGAGTGGTTTAGGAACAAGCTCAAAGTTACAGTGTCCCATGTTGTTCGTGGAATCAATGTAAGTCGCCTATCCGGTTAAGGAAGCTATGGAGGTTGTTCCAGTCAACAGTGTGGTCAACATCATAATCGCGAAGTGAGAAATACACCACATGTGTTCTGCAAATGGATGGATTACCGCTGCATTTTTTAGTTAATTAATTAATTTTATTTTCATTCAACAATTTAATTATTTATAAATATTATAATAGTTACTTATTTGTGATGGACTCTGTAACACTTCGTCTATCACTATGTTAAAATAATTTAGAAACTCTATTCATTTGGTCATTTGGCCGCTTTAAATTTAAATTAATTTATTATGCCTTCGAGATCCGTAATTTTAATTTATTTTTATTTTTAATTTTTTATTTATTTCATTAATTTTATTTTAAAAGAAAAATTTAGAAAAAAACCAGAAAAAGGCGAAACGGGAGAGAACCTACTCGCGAGAAAAATTCTGAGAAAATGGTTGCTCACACTGGTGTTGGGCACTGTGCGCGCCCATAGTGGCTGCAGGGCTTGCGCACAGCGCGCACGCCCCATCCACATGCTAGCATGCACGGGATGTGCGCACGGCGCGAGGTCAGGACCTGCGCGCGCATCTTATCGAGCACAGGCAGGCCGTCTGCGCGTCACTTCGTGCATGGACTAGCGCCACATACTGTGCATGCGCTGTCTGTGCAGCAGTCCTGTGCGGACAAGCCCTTTGCGCCTGGTCCTGTGCGCAGTAGGTTGGTGCACACGGTGCCTAGTGCGCTAGGCCGTGCGCGCACAGCAGTAGGCCTGTGCGCCGACAAGTTAGCTTGTAATGCGCCGGTCGGGCTCTACCACCTTAGGGAGTACTCCGCCACTACCTTGGGCAACGTGCCGCCGTTGGTAAAGAAAAATTTTCTCCTTCATTTCTCGTGGGAAGAATCTTTTTCTCCTCTCTCTTCATCGGATCTCGCCACTTGGCGTGAATCTAACTATTTTGAAATTCTATAAATTGCCCTCCCCTTCCCTTCATCTCCACACTTTTATTTCTTCCATTTTTTAAAGATTTAGAGAGCGGAAGAGTAAATTAGTGAGAGAAGAAAAGAAAAAAAGGAAAAACAGTGAACAAGAAAACATCGAGATTTCGGTAAGAAATTTAGTATTACTTTTGACGTCTTAAGGAATATTTTTAGATAAGCAAATTTAATATGATAATTATTTTGCCTGTTTTGTGTGCCTCTATATTCAAATAAATCGAATTGTTCTGATTTTCAAGCATGTTGTGTGATTTATGAATTTACATGTAATAAATGTAATATATAGTCCATGATAATAAAAGTAAAATAAAAGAAAAAGAAAAGGAAAAAAGTGAAATGAAGCTTGTATGGTACAAAGTGTATCTGTATTGACATGCATATTGCATTAAGTGTCTCGTTAGACTTTTTATCTTTGAGGGGTATCTGTTCCCCTTACCCTTTGGGTATCTATTTTTTCCTCTCCTATCTGTTTTGAAAAGACATAAGAGGATCGCTCCCAGTGGATGATGGCGTGTCCTCTGACAAGAGTAGTATCACATTATCTGTAGGGGTCGCCCGTTGTTAAGTAATGTCGTGACTATATACTATCTGTTAGGGTCATTGTAGTTGGTACGATCGTGGTCATAGATCGTACCATGGTTTGGCCAACCAGAAGTGGGTCTGAGCAAATTGCCATAGCTGTATTTGATCTAGTTATTCTACTTGGTTAGTTGAAAATTTGTATCTGTATCTGCCCTCAGAAATGGAAGTTTGTAACGATTTCGCGAAGTATGATACAAAAAATCTGTGTATTTCATGATTTATTTGATTTTCTCTATTATTTGATATGATATATGTATACTCGATTTTATCTGCTAACATACTATTTTGATATTCAAATAAATATTTTTTCTAATGATGAGTTAGGTAAACAAGAAAGCTTAACGGTAAGAAAAATAATAAACTTTTAAAATTTTATGATGTTAATTTAATACTGTTTTCCTTACTGAGCATATGAAACTCACTCTTTCTATCCTCCCCAAAATAGGAAGAAAATAAAGAACCACAAGCAGACCTACCCTTGGAAGTCTATGAAGATCCTGTGAATCCACAAGTTTGAGTGCATGTCTGTTCTCACACTCTGATGAATTACAGTAGCCTTGTGAAAGAAGTGGCCCTTATGTTTTGTATTTTGTAGCCACTTCTAGCCTCAGTGATGTATGTATTTAGAACAATATATATGTATCTATAAGCGTTTGTTAAGGTTTTGATTCCGCTGCATAAATATTATCATGCACTTATTATTCTGAATTTGTATCTGACACCCATTTGCCTTAACTAGCACTTGGAATGTCACAGATTCAGTGACAATAGATGAATGGTGATCAAAATGATAGTGAGAGCAGAGAAAGTGATGATGGAGAGCTTTATGGAGCTAGTAGTAGAGGAACTCAACTGGGCCTTCATGAAGTAGAGTTATGATAAATACCTCGTCTGTTCTTGAAAATGATAAATTTGAACCTTGATCAATCATCCTCTCACCTATGTAGAACAACATTCCGTTTAACAATACAAGGTCGTCCCTGCAAATGAATTATATAACTTCTATTGAAATATAATGTTTTAATTTTAATAAGAAAGTCGTTTTTTATAATAAAAATATTAATTTATATTTTTAATCTTTTATAGTTACTCCAATTAATTATTATAAATGTTTTATTTTATCTAAAAATATAATAGTTTCTATGAGATTTAACTTAATTTAGTAACTATAATTCCATTAATACAAAAATTATTAAACAAGTACAAAAGGAAAACAAAAAAAAAGGGAAGAATGGGGATAAACCTCGCAGGCAAGCCTTGCAGGAAGACCACTTGTGGACATGCTTGCACACCTGCGCGCCGGTGTGCCTCCGCACCTGCTCTCATAGCAGCTGTCCCATTGCTGTCCCCTCACTTGCCGTACATTAGCCATGCACCTGTAGCACACTAGTGAACACAACAGTTATCTCGTCTGTTCTGTCGCCTGATCGTGGGCCAGCTACTCGCTAGCAGCTCGCACGCACGTCACAT